TCTCCTGGCCAATCTTTCCGCATCCTCCTGAACGGCCTTGCGGGTCTCGTTGGAGTCCACCTCCTTCTTACCAAAGAGGAGAGGGCGGACCTGATCAAAGTCCTCGAAGTCCAAACCCTGGTAGAGGTCGGGGTATGTCTCGTAGGCCTTTGTGGGGCTCCAGGCTTTCCATACCGCATGCTCGTAGATGCCAAGGTGCACCTTCTCTTTGGCATGCAATGCCAAGTGCTTGAGGGCATAGAAGGCCGCTCTGGCCTTGGTGGCCTTTCCAGGACAGATCCCTTTTAGGGCAGCTACCCGCTGACGAGAGAAGACCTGGTACATGCAGATCACAAAAACGTAGCGCTTGTGTCGAACATCTTTGCAGGTTTGAGCCACAGCGAGAGTGAGGGCATGGCCTGCCGGAATGTCAAAGGTGTCCTGAGGCGTCCAGATGCCTTCAGTAACAAAGGTGCCCATGCTCTTTGCCAAAGCTCGGGTTCAGTGCCCGCTGCAAGGCGCTGCTTCCATTGGTCTGGTATGTCTTTGACCTTCCCTCGCCAGAACTGGCACTCCCACAAGACATGCTTGAAGGTGAGCTCAACTCCACATAAGGGACAAGTGCCAGAGATGCCATGAAGAGTGCCTTGATGAAGAGCTCTTGAAGCCGGGCCCAACCTGTCGTCAGTGTACTTCTGGATGACATGCGATATCTGCCAATCCAGTTGCCTTTCTAAGTCGTGGCAGCCCTCGTACCTGGTCAGTCTGAGGAGACGTTGCCAGCGAAATTCCTCTTGAAGCTTGTGATGCAGCAGAGGCCAGCTCTCTTCAAGAGAAAGGACACAGTCAGGGATGCCTCCGTACCCCGTGCGCTTCCAGGATTTGCCATTCGAGAGGTCAAAGTCATAGTCCAGCAAATAGGCTTGTAGGGCTTGAAGAGGCCCATGAACAACTTGCCAACGATATCGAGCCTTTTGAAGCGCTCCCAGGGCAACATTCCAGCTGGTCCAGAACAAGTGTTGAGTGCTCTCGTCGAAGGAGTGGTAAACCTTCCAGACCGAGAAAAGGTGCTGCTGGATCACCGAGTCACCTGGGTCTGGGAACTTGGGATTCATGTCATAGACGACGTCGACAGAACCGGACTTCTGAAGATCTGAGCTGTTGTCGCCTTTGTGGAGCCGAACCGGTGGCCTGAGCGCCCCAGGACATCACAGGATGGATGGCGCTGCGGTGGAGCCTGTAGCGTATGTTCCGCTGAAGCTTGAGGCGGTGGAGAATCCCAGCTCTTCCCTGACCTTTGAGGAACCGCTTCTTGGTCTGGGCCACCCTCCGGTGTCGTGCTGCCGTGGCATCTACTCCCAAGTCTCTCAACACATTGTGATGTTGCGGACCTTGGTCAGTCAAATTGAGCTGAAGAGCCTTGGCAGTTTCTTTGCTGCTCGAGATGAAGCCTGTCTTGTCTGTGTTGACTTTGAGGCCGGCTTCCGTGAGGAGCTTGTTGAGAGATCGGTAAGCCATCACTGCTTCCCTTGCTACGAAGTCTGGGTCGGTTCCTACCACATCAAAGGAGACATCATCGACCCAGGTCTGCAATGCCACAGCAGGATGTAGTCTTCCCAAAGCCTGGAGCGGCTCGTAGAGCACCAGTTTGGAAATCGCTGGTGCCTGAGGGCACCCCTGGAGAATGCCCTTGGCATAGTGAGTGGGGTTGCCGGCAATGCCTTCCGCCTGCAGCAATCTTGGCAAGGAATACAGATCAAGAGCCAACTTGAGGTGCACCGGAGGGTAGTTGAGCTCAGCCGCCGGCTCTATGATGTGGTCCAAGTTGACCGTGTCGTAAAAGCACGAGAGGTCGGCGAGGCATGTGACCGTGTGGATGCCCTGATGTTTGCGGACCTCAGCTTTGAGCATTCGGCCCACTGCAATGGACAGGCAGTCCCTCTTGGGCCTGGCTTGGTCCCAGGGGAGGTCCTTGTCGAGCGAGATTTGCCACTTTTGGATGTCAGCTTTGCGGTAGGAGTTCCAGACCCTGTAGAGGCAGGACGTCAGTGCTATTGGCCTCTCCACTTTGCTGTTCTTGGGGATGAGAACCACATTGGTGTAGCGGAGCTGAGTGGGAAGCAAAGCACTCTTCTCCATCTCGGTGAGCAAGGCTGCCAATCTGGAGACTGCTGGGTATGGCAGGTGGCGGATCATGCCATAGGAAATGCCATCCGGTCCAGCCGCTTTGTTGGGTAGCTTGCGCATGAGCTTCTGAAGCAGGGGCGAATCAACCGGCTTCCAGGTGGCTGCTTCTTGTTGGGCTATGATCCTGAGGTGAAGTCCGCGGATCTGCAAAGGCTCTTGGAGTGGCACCCAAATCTCTCCCCATTCTTTCTCTCGAGCCGTGATGCCTTGGAAAGGGCGTTGCCAAGCCTGGTCTCGTTGCCTCAAGCTGCGGAAAAGATCACCAAGGCCTTTCTGATGACCTTTCTGGAGCCATGGTGGAATGGAGAGCTTGCTTCTGTGCCAGATGCTCCTGCTCGAGGACCATGGTCTTGAGGTCGGTGGGGTCCGTGGAAGGGCTGCTGAGCCACTGGTCCATGACTGCAGTGAAGACATCCGCTTGGAAGTCGTCCGATCCATAGCTCGATACCTCCTTGAGCATGTTGGAGAGATCTCGGTGGACTCCTTTGTGGCCCGTGTGATGCACCACATTGATGCGCACATTCAGTTTTTCCCAAAAGGCAACCGCTCCTCTCATCCAGGTTCTCGAGGTGGTGGAGTCAACAAGTGGAGTATGGAGCAAGGAGATATTTGACCCCCGTCCTGTGATCGGCTTGTGAAGAAGCTGGGTGATGTACTTCTCCGTCTGAGATGCCCATCTGGCAAGGTCTGATCCCAAGCCCTCTATGCGGTCATTCATGATGAAAAAGGGCCCATCATCCTCAGGAAAGCTAGTCCATTGATGAGGAAGCTGAAAAGTTCTGCCAATAGGCGGAAACCTTTGGAGCTGCTGGACCTCCATAGCTGGTTGAGCACAGTCAAAATGGACTTCCAGTGCGCAGTGTGGTTTCCATGGGACTTCCCATAAAGCTGTGACCTTTATGGAAGCAGACAAAGTAGTGGAAACCAGGAGTCAGTGTTCTCTCAAGTGTCCAGGATCTTCTCACTTCTTGCAATTTCAGCATCCAGTTCCAGAATGTGTTCGATACATAGTCTACTTGGTTGTTTGGGCTCAAATCCACATCAATGAAGGAATAGAGTCCTCCCGAAAGTCTCAGGATGAGCGACACAACCTCAAATATAACCTGCAAAAGTAAAACATTCCGGAAATGAGAACCAGAAAAGTAATCAAACAAGACCTTAAGAAAAGAACAAGTATGTCAGTATGTCAGGTTCTTTCTTGCAAAAGGACTTAATTATGTGTTGTCCAGCTGCCTCTGTTTACATACTATGCGTCATTCTATTAACAGCATGCAAAATCATTCATTTCACAAACAGTTGTCGTGTCCGAGGCTTCACACAGATTTCTGCGATTATGTTAACTCCTTCCCGAGAGATATCCAACAACCGGTTACAGTTTTTTTTGAATTCAGAAAATCTGTCACTGTTTTTTGGAAAATCTGCCAGGCATTTTGGGTAAATCTGCCAGTTTTGGGGGGGGAAGTTTGCCATCAATTAACGATACCAACTGCCTACTTTGGAAAAATCCGTCACCGACTTTGAGGAAATCTGCCACCGCCAAATTGGAGGGACGCTTTTCCAGTCCCTATCAGTGCCACAAAAAGAACGGCACGCCCTGACACTGCTCATTGGGGATAAACACATCACGTGTAGCACTCGATCTGTTACATCACTGCATCCAACTCTCCTCTCCAAGCACCGATGCCTCCCCACGCGGATCTGGCGCCAGGCATCTTCAGCCTTCCTCAGGTCACTGCTGCGGGCCTCCGGATCTTGCGCCCGAGCGAAAGGGTTTGGTTTTCCGATCAGAAGCATGCCATCAAAACTAACCGCTGAAGCTCAAATCCGATGTAGAAGAATAATCCCTCGATTCAATATGTTGCAATGTGTCTTGCATTTTTTGCAATGGAAAGATTAATGTTGCATGTGGCATCATCAAGTAGCCTTATCAGCCCGCTCAAGCTAATCCCCTGCCCTTGAACCCCAGCGTGCCTCTTCAAAGCCTGACGCATCAGTGGTCTGAAATGTTGTCGAAGGCATAAATGCACGAAGCTTGACATTGAACCCCTTCTGGAGGAGGAAAAAGGGCTCCATCCGCTTCTCTGACCACCCGAGGGCGGGGCTTGGTTGTCCCGGATTTTCACCACCCTGTGCCTTTCATCATCTCTGCCTCGAATCCGCCCAGCCAGCGATTGAGCACGGGCCTCGCTTCGGTGAACAAACCCTTCGCCAGATTCGTCGGCAGAATATAATATATGTTAGTGGGGGATTAGACTAGTGCCGATCACAGTTGTTGGCCCATGATTTTTTTACCCTCTTGACAAGCATCCATTAGCTCACTTCATCCAAACGATCAGCATCCCAAGTCCACTTCTCTTTTCACCTCCTTGCCACGGTCACTCTCCGTGCTCGCGTCACTCTCCGCAGCCACACGGGCCACGGACAACGCCCATGCGCACGCCATGTGCACGTGGAAGTGGGAGCTCTCAGGATGGATCTTGCAAGAACGCCTGGCAAAACCGTGAAGCCAAAACCCATCGACGGGTGGTAAAACGCCTGGCACGGCGTTGATGGCTTCACGCCTTACTTCAGGAATCCATTCGTCCGCCGCGCCTGGAAATCCATGCCACTTCCCCTTCCCTCTTCCCCTCCCTATAGGACTGTAGGAGAAATCATGAACCAAGTGGTCCAAACCAGAAACATCAAAAAAACAGAAACATATACAACACATTGCCTTACAATGTCTTACATGACCTCACCACCATTGACTGACCAACCGGCCCCTGTCCTGATGCGCACGCGCATACTCCGCAAAAACGCCATCGCGTTGATGCAGCTCTGCGGGAGAACCCTCTTCAACCAAGCGACCCTCCTGAGGCCGATCGGGTCGTTGGCACGAAGCTCGGAATGCTGCGTGCGACAGCTGCGCAGCTTGGGAAGCCATGTCTAAGTTCATATCATTTCTTTGCTCCATCAAATGCAGGGTGGTTCAAACACATCCCGAGTTCCAAGTGCCGCTTTGAGCCGCAATAATCCCCAAATTAACTCCCTGCAACCGAAATTCTCAATGACACGACATCAATCCAACATCCGGATGAGAGAAAATGGCGAGAAAATCCAACATCCAATCCCTGCCCACCTTTCCCATCGTTCCCCTCTGTCCTGCAAGACCAGCAGGCGATCTGCCCGCGCGAGGTTCGAGAGCCGATGAGCCACACAAATCACTGTCATGCCCTCCTCGCCGATTTGGGAGTGTCAGACAAAGAACGGAGTCGGAATGGCCATGCCAGGTATCTAACTATATAATACTATATAGCCAACAAATGCCAACAAACAAACAAACAAACTAACTAACTAACTAACTATCGGAATGACAATTTTCAACTACTATATAGCTTCAATCACTTCAAACCAATCCCGCCCGCCAAATTCAACATTCAACATCAGTCAACCAATCCACCTACCAAGTCATTGACCCGGAAAAGAGCTGCCAGGGCAGCATCCACTTCCATGGCACCGTGCGAGCATCCAGCGACCATCCTCCCAGAAAAAGAAAAAAACATCGATGTAGAAAATCACTGGATATGATATCATGCCCCCAGCATAAGCACGGACTACCTGAGAAAAACAGAATGAGGTGACCACGAACTCCTACCATAGGTAATGGATGGTAATGGAATCCATTTGCATTTCGACCTACGCAACGATCTGCGACGTCTGCATAACGATGGATGTCTACAGTGGCCATGTTGCCTCACCCCGCCGTCCTCTTTCCGAAGCTTCTCGATCTCATCCTGCAGTCGCGCCTGGGAGCACAGCCGTGGGCCAAGGTGAGCCCCATGTGGAACTGGGAAACTACGCATTGAAGGTGGATCTCGCAACTGCGCCAGCAGGTAGCTGCAGAAGAACTGCAACTGGACCCCGGGAGTCTAGAGAGAAACTCGGAGAAATTGGAAACCTGGTGTTTCCCGGCGCCAAGTTCGCGAACCTTGGAGATTCATGTCTAGAAAAATGCAGAAAGCCTCAGAGATCTACTTCCAGACTTCCAAGCATTACTTTAAAATACTCAAAACTATTCAAAACTTGTGTCTTCACTTGGTTGGGCAACTCATTCTTCTGGAGTCGACTTAAGCTTAAGTAGGAACCATCCCCAGTTAGCTCTGCTGTTGGACGAATCCTGTAACCCCCTTGTGCAAGATGGTAGTCCTTCTATTTCATTGATATCTGAGATCGGGGAATAATCTTGTAGCATGTTAGATCGTGCAAGATTTCCCAGGGCTTCCCGGAATTACTTTTTGCGCCTGGGAGATCTCATCCAGGGCTGAAGTGGCCTGCAGGCAAAACAAACATCATGAGTGTGTGTCCACATAGTGAAGAGCAGCGGCTAGCCCCCCCCGACACACAATGTCCATGAATGACTCATGTTTTGCACACATAGGGTTTGTTGTTGCTCTTTGGCCATTGACTCATAGCCTTGAGAGCCTTGAGTAAGAATGGCGATTTGGCAATGAAGTGCCAAAAATCTACACTACTTTGTGGGAGGGGGACTCGCAACCTTCAACAGTTGCACCTGGACCATTTAAAACACTACAGGCTAACATACTTGAAACTTCCAACCCTGTTACCAACCCTCAGGTTCCGCAGCCAAAAATACAGGAACGTTACCAAGTCCTAAGTCATGTCAGGCTCATTAATACTGTATATGTACTACACAACATATACATATATATATATATGCACTTGTATGAACCCTTCGCTCCGTACAGGCTGCTTTTTGGTCAAAACAGCCCATGCCCTATGACTGAAAAGGCAATGCAAGCCCCAGTAGACCTGTAGAGTGCTTCAAGCACTCAAGCCGTTTACCCAAGCTCCTATGGCCCCTTTCCACGCGCTCCTGACTGGCTCAGTGATTAAAAGCGCCACGAACAGGGAGGGAAAGAAAGGGAGGGTAACGTGACGTGAGTGGCTTCTGGGCTTGCAATGCCAACGAAGAAAAAGTACTTCTGCTTCATAGGACAGGACCACCTTCCCAGTGTGCTGGCAATCCCGGGTGACTTTCCTCTGAAGACATGAAGCCTTGAAGCCTTGAAACCCTGCTGACGACCTGAAGCCTAGTGACGACCTGAAGCCTTGAAGACCTGAAGCCTG